AAAACTGAATGGATGGTGAACTATCACGCACAAGATTTCTTTGGCTTGTACCTACATCCTTTGTTTGAAGCTTTCACAGATGCGTGTAATTTGATAAGGTATGCTGCCAAATCTGTTCCACGCAGCATTGTTTGAAGTTCTGAATGAATGCACCAAGAATAGAAGATTTATAGTTATTTACTCAAAATCAACCTTCATTTTCATGCCTACTTATGTCAGAAAAGACCAGCCTGCTTTTCCTGCTCCCTGTCACTTTACCGGCCGCTCATGTCACTTTACCGGCCGCACCTGTCACATTGCTAAATGTCTGTAATGACTCCTGTCATCACATTAATCAAATGTTCTGTATGAAAATTGACATTTTATATTAAACTACGATTTCGAGTAAAATTTAATACAAAACTCGTCAGTAAAATGGCATTACTCGATGTGTCTTAATGTGTCATTTTCCTGACTTTTATCTAAATAGTTAAAATGACACATTACTGGCGAGGCAACTCATTTTTGATCGCATAGTATACTATTTTGATCGATCATGCAAGTCAGGTTCTCCATGTAGTTTTATTGGCCCAATGGCTAGGGAAGAGATTACACTATTATACAAAATGGTCAATCGAGTTCTTTCTCGATCAATTTTTGATGCAATGACTTGACACTTTGTCAACTTAAAAACTAAGTTTTTTTCTTATATCTCCTAACACAGTTCAGATAATGAAAAATCGCCCTTTTATTAGGAAAAGTCGTTTCCCAGGTGATCTCAGACAAGTTCTTTTTCAATCTATTTCGCAGGCAAAGCAATTCTCTTTGCTTATTTAATAAATCGATTTTCGGCTAGAGCTTTTGGGGTGACAAATTTAGCTTTATTGATTCCAAAAGCCGAAATGTGGACTAAGAAAATTCATTTCCCAGACAAACTCAGACAAGTCAGTAGATTTTGCAAGGAAGGCTACACACTTCATTTTAGTGGCTTAATTCTACAGAGTAAAATTTTAGCCAAAATCGTCATGAAATCTTCATTTTCATGCCTACTTTATGTACTCATTTTTTATTTAAAGAAATCTCCTAGTCGATCTGCGACGAGCTCTTTCTCGATCTATTTTGGATTAAAGACTTTGGTAAACTAAAACTCACTTAAGTACAACGTTTAAGGCAGTTCTCCCTTAAGCTGTTCCTATTAGAAAATTCGTTCCCCGTATTGATCTGAAGTTTTATAGGCAAGACTACACACTTTAGTCGACCAAGCGCTAAGGCCAAGGGCCGAATATTCTTCAGACCAAAATTTGTTCTCCGATCGATCTGAGACAAGCCCTTTTCCCTTTTCGGTACCTATCAAATCGGACTGATTCCCCATGAATTCCTTCGTGGTTTTTTTAACGCCTACAAGGGTGGATTATCTCTCAAGACGACGACGCTGTCTAATTATTGATGTGCTAGTTAAAACACGCCCGTCAAATCAAATTTAGAGTTAGGAGTGTAAATCATCTCCCACACAAATTTAAAAAAATACAAGTTTGCCTGTTTTATCATTACGCCAAGTACGTAATAAGTTATACACATTTTGCTTTATTATAGCTTTCCAGCCAATACTTTTGGTGTAGTTATTTGATCGTGATAAACCTCGCCTTTTTTTATTCTAAAATCCGAAGACAATCTAAGACAAGTCCTTTTTCAACCGATTGAAGAAACGTAGTGGTGAAAATTCCGATCAATTAAAAACTGCTTTACAACAAAGTAAGAGATTTATGCTTTTTAAATTGATCTACAACGAAGACAAGATACAATTACTATTAAAATTAGATACAATACAGCCGCATGGTCCTCATTTCCCGGATGGAAAACCCAAGAAACGAACATTCTGCTGTTAGTGTTGTGTTGTTTGTATTAATTTTTACTTTGCGTTTGCAGTTTGTGTGAAATCATGGAATTTGAAAGATAAATTAACTATTCCATTGTTTATAACCATTTAAACAAAATATTCGATTAGGTTATAATTTCATAAACTATAATAGATAAAAGTTTAATTATAATAATCGATTATTGAATAATAGCAGTATTAACTGCAATTACTTTTAGTAATCGATTTTTGCGAATAAGGTACACTGTCGATTAAGTTGTTTCGATTTTAAAGATGACCCCCTAGCTTTAAATGGAGTTATTTATGTTTTTGAAATTGGAATGTGAATAGAAATCATACTGCTACCTTTTTATGTTTTTCCAACGTTTTCTGGTCCCACTACCATCATTAGCGAACTATCGATCACCATCATTTTTAGTAGGTAAAAGGTTACCTATTGGTCAATATCCAGTACCAAAGAGTAAATTGTTGTAAAAATGCGTCCAGTTGGAAAATCGTGGAAACTTTTTACTAACAGATATGGGAAATGTTCTTGGAGTTTACAGCCCTGAAGTAATCGCAATCCTTAGAGTTCTGGCTCTATTTTTTCTGCCTTTGACTATTGAATGTGCTTAATGGAATTTGTAATTGGAGCTGAACCATGTTGAACCTGTACTCCATTTTGAAACTACCCCTCCATCATTGATACGTTTAACATATTTTTGCTTCCCAACTTTTCTACATCTTCTGAATCGATTTCGCATGGACAGCAAGAACTTTTGTCCAAGGTAAGAAATAGTGATTTTTGTTATACAAAGTGTACATTTTTCTAGATGGATAACGGAAATGCTTACTTGGACCGCATCGACGACATAATAATGTTGACAGATGAAATGCCCTTAGAAAGCGAATGATAAAGGCACTTACGAAACTACCAACACGAAATTTGCTTAGAAAATATGTTAGGATGATGTACAGCTTTCATACCATTCTTACTAGTTTGGGTAGTGAGTGTGAGATACGAATATGATCTTCATTCAAGCATGGTTAATTGCAAAACAAGTTACCAGCAAAGATATTATGAAGCAACTGTTTATTTGTGGAAGATCGGAAAATCTTCCTAACTTGATTTGATAATAAAATAGAGCTTTTGGTGGTTTGTTTTTGTATAACCTCCGAATGTGTTGAGGCGACCGACGGTCTGAAGGTCTGTTCGTTGCAAAATAATTTAACAATGTCATGGACAAAAGTAGTTGCAGATCAGTAAAGAAAAAAGTTCTTCTTTTAGGGTAGATTCAGCATAGTCATCCAATGACCTTATCGGAAATAGTCTAGGAAAACAAGAGCGTCAGAGTGTAACAAACTTTCCCGCATAACGCGAACTAGTTAAGCAAAGTTTCCGGTAGGAATGTTATAATTTCAAAGAAAAAACATCGCCGCCTCTACCACAACGGTACTAAATCACTGGTGAGGTAGACTAGAAAATACTAATTTCGCTTTCGTGAGGTCGCCCTACCTCCTTGAAGCCAAATCGTTCGAAATTTTGATTGAAGAAAACCTTCGAGTTAAGGTAAACCGACAAGAGCACAAATATCTTTATATTTATACAAAGTATTCGATTTCAAGGTGGAATCGTGTACGAATGTAAATATGTAAAAGCTCCGAAGTAAATAACAAGCCGTTGTTGCTATTGATCGTAACGTTTATTTCTTTTATAAACTTTTGTTACAAAGAGCAACGTGCACGTCGATCGAGTTTGAATTATTATTCTCCGTCCAGAACATCGATTAAAAGAATACAATAGCCGTGTATGGTTACCCGGTTACCCCGATTTGTGGTAACGGCAACTTAAAGATTGCTCTACACTGCAGCTCGGAAGGAAGGTCTAGTCGCCAATTACCATAAAAACGCGACACTATGACGTTACTGTTCTGATTTAACGAATTCTAAACACGTCCGAAAGTGGACTTTCCAAACTTCCTTAACAAACTAATACTTGTATATACATAGATGGAAGTAATTATCCGAAACTGCATTGCCGACAGGGTATCGAATTTCAGAGGGTGTCTCCTTCGAAGAACTGTACACCCTCGCCTCTGTCGGCATTTGACTTTTAATTTTTTGTGTAATGCACATGCAACTCAGATTAGCTACGTAGCTTAATTATGCTTTAATCAAGTCCGTAACTCGATTCTTTGTTCGGATGATAGTGGTTGCGGTGGTGCGATGATTTATGTTTCTGCACGTATGCGGGGGATAAACTAGGGGGCGGTAAATTGCGAATATGAGTTTCCCCTCTGACCCTCGTATACTTCCCCTATGACAATTGCGAGCAATTTCGCAAACTTCATGTCTGGTTCTTTTCACGATTTTGTCCAAGTTGTAAGTGAAAAGAGAGGGCTTACTTCTCACTTTCTCTCTTTCATAGCGCTGGTTAAAGAGGACAAGTTCATCAGCACCGCTTAATCGAGTTCAAAGTCGGCGAAAGGCTATGCGTAACACCATAATAATTACGAAATGTCGATCGCAATCGACATGTGGCGCGCTTACCCCACTGTCAATTTTATTTCCGAAAAAATAGATTTGCACATCAAAGCCTCGCAGCTGTCCTCTCTCCTATTCAATCGCGTAAAAGTACACAAAATTACGAAAACTGAAAGGGAAAGTGTACAAAAAGGATGATTTCGGTTCAATAGTTCCAGACGGGCAGAGCGTAGGGGTAGGTCCGGCGCGCACGCTCCTGATTCCATCAAGCGTCGGGTCCAGAGACGAGACGCTGCGTCTTCTCCCAGTCTATTTATATCTCCCCCAAGTTTCAGCAAACAGCACTTATAAGATTATCATTTTTTTTACATTTTAATTTCGCATCAGCGGACGGGTTTGCTGTACAATCGCGCGTTGAAGTCTCCCGCATTTTTTCGAGAAAAAAGGGGGTTCGTATTGATTTCTTAAGTGTCTTATTAATTGGAGTGAATGTCACTGCGACAAAGAGTCAGGGTTGACTCCCCCTGATATAAATAACAGATCCAAGTGGCATTAGCGATTTTCTTCTCTACCCTCAGGCGAGCCAATCAGATGTGGAAGCTTCGGAGACGCGTTTCCTAAGAGGTTTGCGTGGATGTTCCCCCGCTACCAGAAGTATTTAAACTTAAGGCGCGGAGCTCCGCATGAGTTCACTTCTGGTCGGTACTTTGTAGATCTTGTTGCATTTTTCGACGACCGATTGGACTTATATTACTATTAGGTAATTCGCGAATAGAGTGAAGGCGCGGATCTGTGCGAAATTGACGGACTTAAGTGCAGTTTTTTGTTTTCGCGATTATCTCATTAATTAAAGGTCTAGGTAAGATTTTTATTTATTTTTTAGTGAGTGACTATAGTGAATAGTGTTGGTTGCAAATTGAGGCGCGTGCCGGATTAATTGAATTAAAAAAGTCGAGAGATTAATTTGAATCGTTATAGTAAAAGTCTAAGATGGCTTAAGTAAACTTAGACTTCTTTACGCACCACCGCTGTTTGCTCATCCACTTTGCATCCCTATGTTAGTCTCAAACAGTTCTGGTTCTCACGAGATATTTTCCCATAATCATTTCACTAAAGACTTCTGGTTTTCAACTAATTACGCTTATTACATTTACACGTGTAGATAATTCAGTTTAGTGTGTTATAAAACGTGTTATAATAAGTGTCGTCGAAAGCTGCAGGAACGATTTTATGTTATCAGTGGCATACTAAACTGACCTACCACGAACTTGCTTCACGTCCTTATTTCTGAATGCATTATCCTTGCAGCTCCAAGTTCAAAGCCAAGAGTAATTTTATTTAACTCAAGAATCTACCTTGGTAATGACACAGTTATGGTGCAACTTAATCAAGGCTAGTCTTCGCCAAAACTTGTTCCATTTTTCCTTACATCACTTCACCTGTTTTCCTTGATGATTCACTACGCTTTTACCACGATGTCATTGACATTCATAAATCTCTCAGGATACACCTCATATTTGCATAAAACTTCGAAGAAGATTCGACCGCAACTTGTCGCGAAATTCACCGTTGCTCTTAGATTAAGATTGCGATAAATTCACTTGAAGTGATAAATTCAGCCTGAAATGAACGGTAAAACGAGATTCTAGATCTCATGCACGACTTAAATAATAATAAAAACGGCGAAAAGGCTTACAAAAAAATTACAAGGTAAGGTGATGCTGCACATTAATATGTTAATCCTAACGTTTTTCTTTAACATAATTGGATGCTAAATCCCCCACCTTAACGAGTATGAAATTGAAAAACTAACCAGGAAATAATTAGATAATTATTGTTAACTTATGAGATAATCGCAAAAAGTGCCGAGTTTAATCAAATCTCTTCCATTTGTGTTTTAGTGGAAAATGTTCGGCAAGTTTCTCAAATTTATTGACGCGTTTGAATATTAACGAATTTATTTTTGATCCTGTTGTTAAATCATTGTTTATTATCCTTGGGCTAAATCACGTTAGCGTGATTGCCAAATTTTCGGATGGTTCGCTATTCCTTATTTTTTCATTTTGGGGTTAATTGGCGTGGCAATTCGTTTTTATTGTTCAAATTGATTCTGCAAAATTATCATATTACTTAACTAATCTTTTGGGGATAATTAGCTTTTACGAAATTAATTAGATCGCCAATTGCAAACTTTAGTTTCAGTCGGTCTTTCTATGCTGGAAATTTTGAACGAGTCTAATTTAATTAAAAATCGAGAAGCTTCCTATATTTTAGTCAATAGGTGAACAGTTACAACTTTCTCACCTGATCTCAAAAAGCTATTGCATAACGCGTCGGCTATTATTTGCATTTTTGTTAAATAAAAATCGAACGTTTGGTTACCGTTAATTTGGATTTACAATTAATTATCCAAATTGTTTATTTACGAGTTACATTGAAAATTCAAATTCCTCATTATGTTCCTTTCATTTTCGTGTAAGTAGGTTTAGCTCGGTTGCCGTGCAAAAAGTTTGTGAATGAAGAATGGTGTGAAGCGATCGTAACTCGTGTGTAAAATTCTTGATTTTATGACGCAAGTGACTTAATTAAGAAATGTGGTTTTCTCGCACCGGCTGAATTTTTAAGGAATCCGGTATGAGTCAAGCAAGGTCGCATAAAAATTACCTAATCGAAGCTTTGCGCGAATACCTCTGGAAGATTGTAGGTACGCAAAGTAACTAATTGAGATTCCAAGCTCAGGTGGTTGGGTATTTATGGCCGGTTGTTGGCATGACGCCATATCTAAGTTACAGACGAAGGTAAGCTCCTTACAATGGTTGTTGGCGGCAACAAGAAAACTCTATAAACGGAAAACGACTAGTTTTCAAACAACGGTCTAGTCTGATATTCCTGTAACTGCCGCGTGCATTGTCATCAAGTTTCTGCTCTTGTACTTGCTTTTTTCCTTTTATTACACAGTCACGATATGAAAGTAAAGCCATACCCAGCTGTTACCAAGTCATATAACCGGCCGGCCCTTTTATTTAATTCAGCTTTTTGAAGAAAACGAGAAAATTATTCTCCCACATCATTTCCCACAGGGTCATACTCTTTCGCACTTCCGATGTCTTCTAACTGTTCTTCGTTCTCATGCCCGCCATTGTAAATTTTGATGAAGTATCGAGATTACAAAGTGTAATTAACGACGCCAGTTTCTGAGAAGTGCAGAGATTGACAGGCCACCCCTCTAGTATATTGATGACAGCTGTCAAAGGAAACTTAAGACGCTTAGAAATGTGTATTTTTACTTTTCCCAGCGCCTGTGACCAAAACAGGGATTAGTTAATATTAACATCACCCAAAAATGCAGTGAGAAGTTTTTAGCGAAGTACGAGTTGGAAATTCAATACTTGTAAGTTTGATTTACATATCATGCATAACTGAAACTCAATTCGGTGTAACATCGCTTCGAGTTGTAATGCAAGCAACAATGTAGCAAATTTTCTCAAATTATTAAAAATGAATTACGTTTGTTAGTAATTTACTAGCAAATAGTGGCCATTAAACTACCGCACGTTTCATGAGCGCGGAGACGTGGGAATTGCATTTATGGCTTTTGAAGTTGGAATTGCATTAGTTATCGGTTCGTGGTGGTCACTAAGAGGAACTTTATTGCACATTCGTCTCTGCTCATTCTTGCATGATAAATAACGAAGTATGTTTGTTTCAGAACGCGCCATGGCGGCGTGGAGTTCAGGGCTGCAGCAATCAGCCCTGTTGATGCTGTTCCTCACGTTAATGTCTGCATACGTAGTACATGCCGGTAAGTTTTTCGGTTACGCAATTAGAACAGCTTTTTACACATGCTCGAGTGTTCCTGTTTTCGCCACAAGGGTCAGTTACCTACCGGGTGGAAGTCGAGATTTAAGATAAAGGCGGCTACCGATTTTTAACTTAACGGTAACATTTGCATACCGATTAAAGTGACTGACGACATCCGCTTCATCTAGACAAATTTGAACTTTTAAGATCGCCTTCCATTAACATCATTATGAATGCCACATTCGGTGACGTGCCTCGATTTTAAATTAAACAACGCAAGGTGTTGGAATTTCCGAAAAAATTTAATTGCCGTAATTTGTTCGGGTTACGCCAGGCGAGTGTGCCATTTTTTCGAATCGATCGGAAATCGAAGATTAAATCTGATCGGTATATAACAGCGTGCATATAACTGTCTGCAAACACAATAACAATGTCCTCGATTCTAGGTTCACAACTTGACCTCCTGCGGTAAGTCTCGGCCAAGTCTCCCACGCTTGGCCGGACCACGGTTTTGTCTGACTAATGTATGCAAAAGCCATTTTCTGCATTCACAAATTACTTAGATGACTTGATTGCTCAAGTTATATAAGCGGTATACAGTTAACCGTGAATGTCAGGCAGGTTCATGCTTTCTGTTATGGCACCGACTATAATTGGATTTCTTTCTAAAACAATGCAGATAAAAAAATCTCCATTCATCCTTTACTGACAACTTAATATTTTGACCGCGAATTTGGCACACTTCCCACCTTGAGTCTGGTACATGGCAGATTGGTAATTGACTTACGACAACAACACCTGTTATTTCTTGTAATATAAGAGCCAAACGGATTGGCCAAACAATTACCGTTTAAGACCATTGTTTGGGTCAAATATTCGGATAAAAATAATTGATAACGGTACCAACCGAGGAAAACTCACTTTCCTACGCAATTTTGGCTGGGACTGAAAACATATTGCATTTACATGCAAGATCGACAATCGATTATTATTCAAGTATTGCGGCCACACCCACTGTGGCCTTGTTGAGCCACTGACCTGCACCTGCTCCACTGTCATACATCCATCATCAAATAATCGCCTATGTAATTGTTTCATTGTTTCAGCTCCTCTGTCCGAGCAGAGCACAGGAATTGAGTCACGTTCAAGTAAGTCGATCGTCCCCCATCCAGCTGCCCCATTTTAATTTACCCCATTTCAGAAACGCAGGGATGTTACTATAACTTCCAGCATTACGATGAGGGAGACAGAATTTTAACAAACGAGCCTTGCCTAAACTGTACTTGCCACAATGAAATGCTCATGTGCTACCTCCGAGTCTGTCCGTTCACCAAAGCCATCGGGCAAGACTGCAAAACGGAGAAACGCCCCGATCAGTGTTGCCCCGTTATCAAGTGCCCCGAAGGTAACACCGCCAATAGTAATCTCGACTGGAAATAATCCAACCATCTTTTAGTACCTGTAAAGCTTATGCCATCAACAACTCCGTCCACCGCAGTTGGACACTTAAACGAGTACGGCTGTTTTATCGAGAACAGGTTTTACTCAGACGGTGCCAGAGTTCCTTCCAACCCAAATAAGCCCTGTGAGCTTTGCTACTGCATCCGAAACCGTACGGCTTGCGTTATGCAACAGTGCACACTCGAAATCGAAGATTGTAGGCCCGTGTATCAAGAAGGTGTCTGCTGCCCGGCGAGGTACGATTGTGGTACGTACCTTAACCAGTTAACCGAACCCCCTCTATTCTTAAAACTTTGCAGAACACCCCGAACAAAACCTTCTCGAAACGACAACAACGACCACCGAAAGAACGACACCAAGCCTAATCACGACGACCATGTTCCCAGGTCCTAAAGATTGTACCTTCGAAAATAACTTGTACGCCGACGGCGCCCTTATAAAGAGCGACATTCCGTGCGAGCGCTGCTATTGCATGAAAGGAGACGTTATGTGCGCTGTACAAAAATGTAACCCCACGCCGCTGGAAAAAATTAACTGTACAGCGTTACCGCCACGCGACGGTGAGTGTTGCCCTGACACCTACGACTGTGACAATTTAATCGAAGAAGAACTCACCACTTTAATCTACGACGTTACCACGCCTTTACCTGAAATTGTTCCTAATGAAGTTGACAAAACTGCAACAACATCTAGAACGGAAGAGATACCAACAGTGCGACCACTAGAAGAAACCGAAGAGCCCTCTCAACCGACTACTGAAAGTGAACATCCTGCAGTAGAAGGTCACGTGCCCAAGTTAGATGAAGGCGATTCCACACCGGCTCCGTCTGCACCAACCGAAGTTATAACTGAAGGATTTTTGACGTCATCTGCCGAAGACATGACCCAAGCTCATGCCCAAGTTACTCAAAAACCAGAACCCTTAACTACTATGCTGCCCGAACAAGAGCCGCCAACGACTCAAGTCGTGCCTGACCACACCAAGGCACCGCAAACAGAAGAAGAACAACCCACGACACCCAGGCTTCCTCCACGATTTGGAGAGGAGGAAACAACGCCGTCTGAGGAAGGTAAAGAGGAACCTAAGCCAACAACTCTACAGCCTTCCGATACCGAATCGAGCCCTACCGTCAGCCAATTCATAACAGAAGCGACAGCTGGCCCTGGTGTTGAGAGTACAAAGGCGCCAGTTCCAGAGGAACCGGAAAAGGCTGCGGAAACTAGTGTTCCAGAATCGACCAAAGCTCCCGAAGAAGCTAAGACCACAACTGCCATGCCAAGTGAAGCCACAAAGTCGCCTGAAGATGACAAACAAGGATCACCAGTCCCAACTGCCACAGTCGAGGAAGAGGAGGGAAAAGCCACAACTGTACAACCTGAACCTTCTCATCCAGTCGGTACGGTAAAACCATTGGAGGAGGAATCCACTGACGGTGAAGTGACACAAGCATCAAAATTGCCCCAAGACAAACATACTACCTCTGGAAGTGTCGAACTCACCACCGCATCTATAGAAACTGAGGAACCTGAAAAGGCGACAGACGAAAAACAATTAACCACTCCAGTACCTGAAGTAACCCAACCTCACGAGGAAGATAAGGAACCGGCCTCTGTTAGGCCACTTGAGCCCGAGGTAACAAAAGCGCCGGAAGGTGAGAGTGAAGAAGATGTATCTGCCAACACAATCGGTCCGTTAGAGCACGAATTAACTAAATCGCCCGAAGATAAAGATTTGGCCACGGCGGAAACTAAGGCGCCCGTCAAGGAAGGTACTACAAGCAGACCAGTTGAACCAACTCCAGGCGACGAGGAAAGACCAACTGAAGCCAGCAAAGAAGAGGAGGCGACAAGTGCAAAGGAACCAGAGGAAGCAGCGACAACAGTTTCACCGACCGGGCTTCCGCCTCAGAAGGAAGTAGAGCAAGCGCCTGAAAAGGAAGAGGAGCACATGACCACGGTACCTCAAGTATCGGTTACCGAGCCTGAGAAGGAGCTCCCACACTCAGAAACTCCAACGGCAACGTTGCCCGAAGGCACGAAGATGCCAGAAAAAGAAGGCGAACAGACTACTCCCGCAATTCTTCCAGAAAAGGAACACGGAACGAAAGCTCCGGAAGCGCCTGAAGATGTGACCAAAGTACCCGCTGTGGAAGCTACTGAAATTCCGGATTTAGGTGTCAGGGGTCCTGAAGAGACTACATCTCAGGAAGAAGTAACAAAGGCTGCTGAAGAAGAAGCGACAAAATCGTCAATCGCACAAGAGACAGAGGCACCAATTGAAAAGGAGACGACTATGCCGAAAGAAGGAGCTCCAAAAGTACCTGCGGCACCCGAGCAAGAATCATCAGTTATTCCAGAAGAATCTTCCAAAGCACCAGAAGCCGAAGCTACAGTCGCGGAACATGTGACGAAAGGACCAGAAGACGCTACAAAGGTGCCCGAGGAAGTACCTACTGCTACCAAGCTTCCAGAAGAAGTAACCGAGGCACATGTATCACATATCCAAGAAGAAGTAACAAAGGTGCCAGAAGAAGAGCCGACTGAAGGACCGAAAGAATCCACACCACTTCATGGTGAAGAAGAAGGAACTAAAGCAACGACGCATATTCCAGAGGTGGAGGTAACAAAGGCCCAAGAAGAGCCTGAAAAGGCGGAAGAAGGAACGAAGGCACCTGAAGCTGTAACAACAATGGAGGCCACAAAAATGCGTGACGAGGTAACAGAAGAAATTACGAAAGCATCTGAGGCAATCGAACCTACCAAGGTACCAGAAGTCACTGAGTTACCAGACGATGTAACTAAAGCTCACGAAGAAGCGGCAACAAAGAGTCCAGAAGCAATTGAACCTACCAAGGTACCAGAAGTCACTAAATTACCAGACGATGTAACTAAAGCTCACGAAGAAGCGGCAACAAAGAGTCCAGAGGGCCCAGCGACAGTGTTACCCGAAAAAGAGGAACCAGAAACTAGCGCCCCAGAAGAAGGTACCAAAGGCCCCGAAGTAGTAACGAGTGTGCCAAAAATAGAAAAAACAACTACAGCACCGGAAGAAGCAACGAAACTACCAGAAACGACAGCACCAGAAAGTGAACCAACAGAATCTACTGAAGGCGAAACGAAAGCTGCTGAAGTAACTAAAGCACCCGCAATCGAAGAAACTTCAGCGGCAGGAGAAAGTGAAAAGGAATCGGAAAGACCAACCTTTGCTCCCGAGGAAGCGACTAAACATCCTGAAGAAACTAGCAAAGTACCAGTAACCGAACCGACTAAAGGGTCTGAGGGAGAAATAACAAAGGCTGGTGAAGAAGTGACGAAAGCACCGGAACCTGAATCAACGCACGTTCCAAAAGAGGAGGTTACGAAGTTGCCTGAACAGGTAACTAAGGAGGCAGAGATAGAAACCAAGGCACCCGAAGAAGTCACCAAGGCCGAAGAAGTAATTACAGAGTCACCCGAAGTAACAAAAGAAGTGTCTCCAACAGAAGCTCCAGAAGACGTAAGTGAACCAGCAAAAACACATGACGAAGCAACGAAGGCTCCCGAAGTAGTAACTGAGGTTTCACAAGAAGTAACCAAAGGTCCAATTGAATCTCCCAAGGAACATGAACCTGAACAACCAACAAAGGGTCCCGAAGAGATAACAGAAGCGCCTATAGAAGAAATAAGCAAAGTTCCCGAAGAGAAGATTAAAGAATCAGAATACGCAACTAAAGCACCTGAAGCCACGACGGTACCAGTTGAAGAAGCAACCAAACCAGAGGACAAGGAAACAATGCGTCCAGTAGCGGTCACTGAAGCACCAGACTCTGCAGCTACAGGGGAAGTAACGAAGGAAAGTGAAACCAAGACACCTGACGTCACCGTACCTCCAGCTGAAAAGGTAACAAAACCAGAACAACAACCAACTAAAATTCCGGAAGTGGAAACAGAAAGTACAGTTCAAATTACCGAAGCACCGCATACGGAAGCGACAGTAGAAGTTACAAAATCTGCGGAAGAACTCACCAAACTACCAGAAGCAGTGTCAACCGAAGCTTCGGTTGAGACCACCAAAACATCCGAACACGCAACAGAAACGGCGGAGCCAGTTGAAAAGGAAGGTACCAAAGAGCCGGAACATATAACAAAAGCACCTGAAGAACTAACAAAGGCGCCTGGAGCTGATTTAACAAAATCTCCAGAAGAGGAACAAACACAAGCACCGGAACATGAAAAACAAACAAAGGGGCCAGAAAGTACACCGGCTCCTGAGGGATTGACGAAAGAACCTGCAGTTCCAGAAGTGGAAGTAACCAGTGCCAAGGGCCTTGAGGATACAACGAAACTTCCCACTGAAGAAATTACCAAAATTCCAGAAGGAGAAGTCACGGAAGCACCGGAAGAGGTGCCGGAACAACAAGTTCCATCAGAAATCACACAGGCTCCCGAAACTGAAGTACCAAAACGCCCTGAAGAGGAACTAACAAGCGCTCCCGAAGAAAGCACACACGCGTCTCGTCCTCCTGCGCAAGAAACTACCGTTCCATCAAGGGTAGAATTAGAAACCACGCCCAAACCAGAGGAAAAGCAAACTACTCTTCCGGAAGCTACCACTAGTAAACCAGAGCTAGAAGAAACAAGCGGCCCCGAGGAAGAAAAAACGACTGAGCCAGTGTACACAGTAACACCTGAAAAACAACCAAGCGAAGGTTTAATTACTGAAAGCGAACATAAACCTGAGCAAGATCTTTCAACAGTCGGTTTATCTCACGTGACCGAAGAACCAATTGTCACAGTAACAGCAGTAGCAGTTGACACAGAGACGCCTCTTGTTCAACAGGGCGAAAAATCAGAAGATCAGACCACCGCCGTGCCGCAAGTAACCGAAAAACCAGTGGACCAATCTACCCAGCATGATATTCCAAAAGAACAAGAGACTGAGGCACCGCAGATTGCTGTAGAGGTTATGCCCGCAAAGGAAGAGCCTATAACCAAGGTACCTCCAGTTTCGGCAACTCAACCGGAAGAAGTACCTGATAAGGACGTCGCGGCAACTGAACTGCCTTCCATTGTGTCGTCTACGCAAAAACCAGCGTATGAGTCAACTAAGCAGCCCGAAACAACTCCTACCGAAAGTATAACTGAGCATATGGTACCTGGAGAAGGCAGCTGTTTGGTTGATGGTCAAACTTTTGCCAATAACTCCGAAGTGCCTCCAATGGGACATTGCCAAATTTCTTGCAAGTGCTTAAGTTCAATTCTACAGTGCGAATCCGTAGCCTGTGAAGGTCCACCTTCACATCTTCATAACTGCATGCCTGTCTACCAAGGCCCTGATAGTTGTTGTCCAACATATAGTTGCAGTAAGTTTATAAGGCTTTGTTTTGGAATTTGTCATAACGATTGCATTTCAGGTGTACCAGAACCATCCGAAATTGAGTCAGATAGTCACAAGATGGACGAAACAACAATTAAAGAACAGCCAGTTACTATTTCCATACAAGTGTTGCCTGCAAAGACCGAGGAGCCAGTAACGGAAGCTGAAGTACCTAAGGAATCTGAACAAACCACTTCGGCGCCTACGCAGAAAACAACACAGCAGGAGGAGTCGACAACCGCTGGTGCTGAAAAAGAGGTTACAGAGGTCGAAGTTCTTACAGAAGCACCGCTAAGTAAAGAACCAGAAGGAGGTGTTGCTATAGGAGATCGTATTGAAACTGAGAGCCCTGTAACGGAATCGACAACCTTGGGTCCGAAAGTACCGGAGGAAGAAACTGTGAAGCCAGTTTATGTACCCGTTGTGGTACAACCACACCCGGAAGCTACAGCTGCGCCGACAGGAGTCACCCAATCAGAAACAGAATCAGAGATTACCAGTTCGCCAACTTCATCTCCTAAAACAGAGGAGGCAACGAAATTACCTGAGGAGGAGGTTGTCACTAAATCAGAATCAGAGGTTACTACAGCCCATGAATTTGTCAGCTCATCTACCTCATCTCCAGTATCCGACATCGAGAAGGCAACGCAACATGAGAAAGATGCCACAGAGGCTACTACTCCGCATGAGCTCATCGGTTCATCCACTGAGTCTGTAGAGACTGAAACTGAGGAGGCAACGAAAGCTCAGTTGCCTGAAAAAGTTGCCACTACATCAGAATCGGAAGCTACTACCTCCCATGAGGTTGTCGGTGCATCTACCTCATCTCCAGAAGCTGAAGTCGAGAAGGTCACTGAATCAGAATCAGAAGCTACAACTCCGCATGAGGTCATTGGTTCATCCACTGAATCGGAAGCGACAAAAGCACAGTTGCCCGAGGAAGGTGCCACTAAATCAGAGTCGGAAGCTACGCCCCATGAGGTCATTTCTGCATCCACTGCATCAGTAGAGGCCGAAACTGAAGAAGGGACGAAAGCTCAACTGCCTGAAGATATTGCCACTAAATTAGAGTCGGAAGCTACTACGCCGCATGAGCTCATCGGTTCATCCACTGAGTCTGTAGAGGCTGAAACTGAGGAGGCGACGAAAGCTCATTTGCCTGAGGAAGTTGCCACTAAATCAGAGTCGGAAGCTACTACTCCTCATGTGATCATTGGTTCATCTACTGCATCGGTAGAGGCTGAAACTGAGGAAGTGACAAAAGCTCAGTTGCCTGAAGAAGTTGACACCAAATCAGAAGCGGCACCTACTCCGCATGAAGTGATGACTACATCCCCGAAAATTGAAACCGAGGAAGTGACGCAAGAAGATGTCGCGACCAAAGTCGAATCGCAGGTAACTACGATGCGTGCATCTACTACTTTACCACCGGAAAGTGAAACAATGGCACATGAAGTTACTAGTCAATCCACGTCATTGCCAGAAATCGAAGGAGAAGAAAAAGTTACTAGCAAACCCGAAGCTGTCACAGAAGGAGAAATTCATGAAACAACCTCAACGATTCCCGAAAAAGGTGCTACATCGGAAAGTTCTATGACAACTGTTAAATCCTCGGACGCCACAGAAAGTCTTGAACATCAAGAGACCAAATATCCGTATACTAAGACAACGGTCGTAACTGAACCTGCAGTCACACAACGGACCTCTGATGCTAGTACAGACAGTGAGACTGAGAAACACACCACAATTGAAGTAACTACAGCTGGTGCTGTAATCACAGAATCATCGACTGCGGAACCGCACAAAGAAGAGCCTGAAATTGATGTAACTAAGGAAGTGCCATCAGAAACTGAGAAGGAATATACCACCCAGAAATTAAGTCAGCCCACGGAACCTTCCGTTCAGACCTCAATGACTGAAGAAGAACCGCACCAAACCACTGAAGGCAAATCAGAGACTGAGAAACAAGCTGAAGTTACAATGCAACCAGATGTTGAGGCAAGTAAATCGCCCGAAGTTCAGACTACTCCAGAAGAAGTGACTGAGAAAGCGGTAACAGGCGCTCCAGAAACAACAACCGCGGAGATTCTATCGACAACTCCTCACCTTGATCTGAATCGTACCGACCTGTACACTACCATAAGCGAATCTTCTAGCATTCACCCAGACTTAGGTCATACGCCAGAAATGCCCGACTACCACGTACCCGAAGACGAATATGAAGAAGATCATGGCACATATGGACCTGGTACTTGCCGATATGGTGGAAAAACGTTCGTCTCGGCGCAACAAATACCTCGCGACGATCCCTGCGATTTCTGCTTCTGTTTCCGAAGCGACATCATCTGTCTACAACAAAGCTGTCCGCCTCCGATTCCCAGATGTCACGAGGAACCGATCAGGGGATTCTGTTGTCCTCGTTACGAATGTCCAGTCTCTATGGCTACCGCTGTAAATATCACGACCACGACTACCACGACCACAACAACGCTGCCTCCCCACTTCTTCTCGCATCACTACAAAGGCAGAGCAAAACGACAAGGTTGCCTTGTGCAAGGCAAAGATTATCAAGTAGGTGAAGATGTGGCATCTGCATCTGGTCCCTGTTTGCAGTGCAGGTAAGATTTAAAGTGAATTATGTGTTCATTTTCACTAACGTGGTTTTGTTTCTCCTTGCAGCTGCGGTGGTGATGGTCAAATGAAATGTGATCCCAAACCTTGTAGTCCCGAACCTATGATTAGGAAAATGATAGCAGAGGTCGAGTCTAGGCGAAGAAGATGAACAATTTACGATGATTAGTGATAAGTGCACTAGTGATCCGCATTGTGTGAGTGATAGAAACAATTTTGCAATTGAATAGTGTGAAACTTTTAAAACGATTCGTAGCATTCTCGGGTGCCAAATTGAAAATAAGACTAGGTATATCGTGCCTTTAAAGGAAACTCCAGCCAAGAGTTTCTGACCAGTGAGTGCATGTATTTACACGTGCAATAAAGTGATTGTATACTCGATTTAATTATTTATAATAACTTTTGACTGAATTTTTTACTACTTTTTTAAATTTAGAACTTTTTGTACGTGTCTCGTATTTTGATAGCCATTTAAAAACCCAAGATAAAGGGCTCCTTTGTTGTATTGTTTATTGTGTCGCACATAAGACTCTGGACTGTTTGACTAGCAGAACGCTGCCATTTTAATGTAGTTTTTATTAAAAACATGTACACTCCCTTGTTCTGCCACTTGAACGTCTAGATCGTTTTTGTATATTTATGGATGCTCAATATACTTATAGAATATGTAGTATTTATCTTACTATAATTAAAATGAACAAATTAATTGGTCTGTTTTTTTTACATTGTGGGTGTCGAAAGGACTGGACAAGTTTAGCCAGGTTTATATCTTTGGTAGGTCTTTTGATCTTTCGTGGGCTTGTAAATTCTTTTTTGGTAATACTTGTGCGTCACGAAATTCCCCTGCCTTTTTAAACAATCTGCTTTGTCAAAGGACCACTGAAGCAAATTTTTAAATTAATTTTCAAGAATCGATTTCCAGACAAATCAGGATGGTCCAAAAATATTCCCTTTATTAAATCCATTGGGTTCAAACAAAACATATTGAATCATATCAAAGTTGTGTATTGATTAAATTAATTATATTAGGTTATTTTCATTTTCAAATCCATGAACAATTATATAGGATTTTCGTATAAATTGCGAAAGGTTGACTACTACCATTGAAGAATTTTTATTAAATGCTACTACTTTTTGGTATAGGTAGATATTCTATCAATGTTCACATATAATTTTAACAGATTTAAAAACTTTTTCATAGTCAGAGCTGGGCAGAATACTTTCAAAAAGTGTTTGAATAATAAATAGTAAATACTTTACACAAATCAAAGGTATTTGAATACTAAGTACTTTTACGTCCAGCACAAGCGAATACTAGATACAGATACATTGAAAAGTATTCGAATACTTTGAAATGTATTTCATTATCTTACTTTGAAAAGTATTCGAATACAGTAAAAAGTATTTAAATACTTGTCACTCAAATACATTAAAAATTTAAAATAGTATACTAGATAAAAAATCTTATACTTTGTATGGGGTTAGCTTTTTTTATATTTCTATTGTTATATACAAATTTAAGGGGAGTAAAAGCGTATTATTATTATTATATAATTATATAGGAGGTACCTACCAGGACCTTTCTTATACCAGTTATATCCTTAAGAATACGTGTACCAGTTTTCAAAGCGATCGTACGTCGTGCACATGATACGTACGCCTTTCTGAAATTAATCCTAGCGATTTTGGAACAGATCCATTTTTGACCATCCGTTTGTCCGTGTGCATGATAACTTGTTTAGAAACGTGCGATCGCTTTGAAAATTGGTACATATGGTCTTAAGGATATAAGAAAGGTCCCTATTGTTTTTAAGTTACGTAGACTATCGAGTTCGGTATTCAGATGTATCGGATTTTTATATTTGATTTTGTGACAATGGAAACTTTCCCTAAACATTTCTAAATTGTTCTCAAATATTTGAATAACTTAAAAGTACTGCCTTTTTTTGAGGCCGAAAAAAAAATTGTCTGAGATCGAGATCGATCGAGAGTCCATAATTTCAAACAGTTTGAAGATTGGGCTACTAGTTCAAAAGTTACAGCCCTTTGAATTTTCTTTCGAAATTGGTTTCTAGTCTATAACTTTGGATTGAGAAGTCTGATCGAAAAAGTACGAATTGTTTTGGATTCTACGCACCAAAATTAATAAGAAAAAGTGTTTTCCCGAGAAATTTTGGTGTAGTCGATTTTTGGTAAAAAAGGAAGGTTACACACTGCCTTTTTTTGAGGCCCGAAAAAAAATTGTCTCAGATCGACCGGGAAAAATATTTTCTTATAGAATGTGCCCTGTAGAATCCATAATTTCAAACAGTTTGAAGATTGGGCTACCAGTTGAAAAGTTACAGCCCTTTGAATTTTCTTTCGAATTTGGTTTCTAGTCTATAACATTTGATTGATAAGCCTAATCGAAAAAGTACGAATTGTTTTGGATTCTACGCCCCAAAATTAATAATAACACTTTTTTTTCTCTCATTTTACTGCCCTTTTTGTGTTCTATTCTCATACTCTTTTCGCTTTTTTACGTTGTGTTCTTTTTTCTCACTTTTCGGTGTGTTTCTATCTGCCTTCGGCGTCGTCTTTTTACTGTGGCCTTCTGTACTTTTATATCTATTATTCCCTTTTCCTTTTTTCTTGGCATCGTACAATCAATTTTTTCACATCTTTTTTGCTGCTCTATTTGATCACTTTCTTCAAACCATGCTCTCCCTTTGTATTTTTGACTATTGTCGACTTTTTTAATTTTAATTTCTTTAACTATTTTTCTTTGTCTATTTCTTCGTATCCTTTTTATTCGTATTCTTTGTTCCAGTTTGTTACCGTTATTCATTTTTAAGAGCTTCAATCCATTGTGGTTCTTTTGACTCTTTGTTTTAATCTTATACTAATTTCGCTTTTTGTATTTGTAATCCTTTCATCTTCTTCTTGTCTTCTTCTGTTGCTTTTTGGTTTTCGTTTTGTCTCCTTCTTTCTTGGTTTAATTGTCTCATTTTTATCCTTCGTCTTTTTTTGCAAACCTCGCTCTGCCTTTGTCAATCTTTCTTCCCCTAATCTTTAACTTCCATTTATGTCTTTCTTGTTTCATTTTTCCGCATTCTACTCCGTGTTGTGTTCTATATTTGTTTCCTTCCTTAGATTTTGTATATCTCTATTTCTCGCTTCTTCCATTTTTCATTATTGCTATCTATTGTTTCTATTCGTCCATTTTTCCTATTCTTTCACATTCTCTCTGTTATTTTGTTATCCAAGGGCTATTATCCATTAAGTATTAGTTTTTTTGTTCCCTTTTCTATTTACTTACTTACTTACTATCCCATTTCGGAATCCATTTTTTATTCTACTCTTTATTTCCATGTCATAGCACCATTTTGTTTAACTTATCGTTCGTTGTTCTCTTCTTATTCCGTTTTGTATGTTCCTTTTTCACTTTGCTCCATGTTGTTACTCCTCAATTCTTGTTTTATACTACTTCTTCCTTTTTCAAAAATTGTTATTTTAAGTGTTTTCCTGGTGTTGCTTTCTATTCGTTCTCTTTCTTTGCCGTTTGCTTTCTATCTTCGTGGCCCGTTGGGTTTTTTCCACTATTATTATTTTGGCCTTTTTCCATTTATTTCCCTTGCATCTTTCTTTAAAGCAATTCTTCTGCTCCCATTTCTTCCGTGTTGCGTTCCTGAAAGCCTTTTACAAGGGACTATCTCTTATTAAAGGCTGTAGAGACCTTTAAAGACCGATAGAGGTTTTTAAGAGATTTAAAGCGTATTAAGGCCTTTCGAAAGCTTTGAAGGCTCTGAAAGACAATTGAAGAACGGCTCCCAAACATTTTTTTTTAAGTTCTTAACTCTTAGAAGATCTGTATACTCTTGGACGCTTTTATTCCTCTCTGTGGAGTGATCGTTGTAGAGAAAATTTGTGAACTTATGAGAGTCCTAAAATCCTTAAAGACCAGTTTAAGTATAAAAATAAAAAAACTGACTACTTCTAAAGGTTTTCTAAAGGTTTTTAATGCTTTTGACAGCCTTAAGCTTTTAAATATTTTTAAAGACCGTTTAAGTATCTTAAGGTCAAGACTCACATCTTAAAGGCTCGGTTCTTAAAAAAAGAGAGAATCAAGCTTAAAGACAAGTTCAAAATGTTCTCGCAGGAAACTTTTAAAGGCTCTAAAATACCATTAAAGGCTCATGAAGTCGTAATGGTCCATAAAGGTTCTTTAAGGAGCCTTTTTTAACACTTGGTCTTTCAAAGATTTTTTTCAAGATTATAACGATCAATAGGAAATTCTTTTGAAATCTCTCGAAATCATTTGGAAGCTCATGTTCAAAGGAACCTTAAAGGCTATCCAAAACGCGTCGTTTAAAGACTTTGCTTTTTTACATGGTATTAAAGACCTTAGGAGAGGTTTAAAGATTTCGAAATCTAAGCTCTAAAAGGATCTTTAAAGATTTAAAAGACTATAAGAGCCTTAAAGAGGATGTTAGAAGCTACTAGAACGCGTTATCGCCTCTAAAAAGCCTTTAAAAGCACTAAAGTGCAATTAAAAACCAATGAAGCTTTGTAGAGCATTTTAAGGGCTCTTCAACATTAAAATATTGAACATTCTTTAAAGACAGGGTTAAAGGCTCTTAAAGACTCGGTTCTTTTAAAAAAAAAAGAGAAAATCTCAAACACCCTAAAGTCTTCTGCAAGACCTTTTATGACTCTTTAGCAATTTTGAATGCTCCAGCACGAGACCGACTCGTAAAGAATATACAAAACCATTAAAGGGTCGTAAAAGTACGATACAAGCACTTAAAGGGCGGCCTTTTAACAAATTCTCCTCAAAAACCTCCAAAGAGTGTTACAGGCGCTAAAGGTCAACCGAAAGGCTTTAGAAAACTTTGAGGAATTTTAATAAAAACTCTTAAAGGCTTTTGAAGCCTTGGTGTCATTTTGTAAACTTTTAAAAGTTTTTGAATGCTTTTGGAGAAAGATTCTTGGTTGCTACCAAAGACACTAGAAGACTGTAAAATAGTATATGAAACTCTTCTTTGAATGCCTTTAAAGCTTCATGTAGATATTTAGAGACTCTTGGAGAGCCTTGCCCTTAAATACAATTAAACGCGCCTAATCTCCCTTAAGGGCCCATTTTTAAGAACTAATTAAGAATGCGTTAAAAACCCATCAAGAACCTTTCAAAGGCTATTAAACGTACATGCTTTTTTAATCGAATTAGTTGTATTTTTTCGCCATTTTGTAATAGTAAGCATAAACAAAATGGCGTGTCGCGTGCGTTAAAAAATTGATCTCTGAGGGTTGATATGTAAAACTTTAAAGTCTAAAATTTGGGATTAAAGGGAAGGCAGGAAGCGGGGGCCGGAGGGTGGTAAAAATGTTTAATTTAAGTATTCCCAGTGATGCTGTAACGTATATTAAAATATCCTGTCATAATCCCCTACGTTCGTATATTCCGCGTAAGCTATAATAACCACTGACAAAGATGAAAATAATCTCGGGGTTTTAATATCCATTAGTACATAAAGCTTCGGTGCGGTAAGTGGAAAGTACATACGACCGACCCGATATTGGGGTGCGAAGCGTCTCCATGACGACGTGCGGCACCCGCAGCAAGGATCGAAGCCGACCGTGTTAGACTTCCCACCACGCCGTGTACATACGCCAGCTTGTACACTCCCGACCCTCCTATTAACTGTAAAATTAACAAGCAGTACACTC